CATTCCTGTATCTTGGTACATACACAATATTTAACAGCTGATAGATGAAGAGAAAGATGCAAATTTCTTCCTTAATTTGAGTTAATGACTTCACTGTTACAGCGTTACATAGGTGTTGGAGTGTCTTGTGGGTCATATGCATTCTGGCTTTTGCTGTAATTTTGAAGTTTCCGCTTCTCTTAGAATTCTTCCCTTTCCCTCTCGCTCACCCCAAAAGACAAATCAAGAGCTGTGCTTCTTCTAATTCCTAGAATTATCCATAAAGGAGATTAGTTGGTTTGAATTTTATTCTAAAAAAAATTAAACTGCTAGTTGCAGTTTCCTAAAATGTACTTCAAATCTATTTGGGAACCCAACAGTAAGCATTCCTGTAGTTCCCTTTGGTTGATGGGCATGAAAATTCTAGTTAAATTTACAATGAGGAATCTTGAAAGTGAATGTGTAGTATGTAAACCAATTAAGATGTATGCTTTAGTTTTAAGTTAGCTCCCTTTACAGCACTGTAACATTTAAGATGTCCTTAAAAGACTTTCTTTTTGATGCCTTAAATAACTTTATTGCATTTGCTAAAATTTTGTAGCTGCTGCCTGTGTGCAAAAATTAACTGACATTAAACAATTTAAAGTGGCATGAGCTAGTATGAATTCAATGAACCTGCTGAATGTGACAATGTTAATTATTGTTAGATTTCAACTGCTCTGAATTTTTCAGTGGATACTTATGTTGCACATAAATTGCCATGTAGCAATGTTTTCATTAGTTCTAATACATTGAGGAAGTGTACAAAAAATCCATGGAAAATGTGAATAAATGAATGGGAGATAATTTAGTCTGTGTGTGTCACTTTTGCTTTGACTATAGAAACTATACTAATGAAATGAATTCTACAATCAGTTGCTTGCAGGTGAAGTCCAGCCCTCATAGCTTGAAGTTGTGCTAGAAAATCCCACACCCAGCCTTACTGCTGCTAAGAAGGGAAAGTCCTGTCCTGTCCTGTCCCTTCCACGAGGAGCTTTGAAACTTGTCACATCTCTAAGAGCCAAATGGGTGAAATACTTTCTTGTGGCAAGGTTGGTGAGTTTTGAAGCAGCAAAAGGGAAGAGCTAGGGTTGTCTTTTCTGGGAAGAGGAGAAGTTAGTTTATACATACTACATAGAATTACTGTACAGATGCACCTATTTTTCTGGTTTAAACAGAGTTACTAGAGCATGCTTCATCTTGAGAGCAGGTCATAGGCCAGCTCCTACACCCGGAGGCCAAATCACAAGGTGAATCACAAGTTCTGCTAAGGACTGTGGGGACACTAGTGGTCTCACTGCATCCCTGGTACGCTCTCAGCCCGAGGTTGGTGCCACCCTTGATTTTACTGGCTGTCTCTTCCCTCCCTCCCCATCAGAACTGGAACTGGTGTGTGTTCCAGGAGCCAAACTCTGAGCACAGGCCATGGAGAAGAGCCGGTCTAGATGGCCCAAGCGTAGCTCGGGCACTTCTGGTTCTTAGATGTTCTGTGCATCTCACCAGGCAACCGTTCTTTTAACATCCAAAATCCATTGGATTTGTAGATCCAGCCTAAACCACTACCCAGGAGCCAGGCCAGGAAGTGATTCTTCTCTTCCTTGGTTTGTGACGATTTAGTCAATAGCAAAAAAGAGTCAGAACAGACTGAAGTGAACAAGATCATCTTTCCGATGCAACAGAGGCTTCTGAGACCATGAGAGAGTCCAATCT